GGGGCTTGGGGACACCTGGAGGGGTTTGGGGACACCTGGAGAGCTCCGTGGTGACCTTTAGGAGGTTCCAGGTGACCTTTAGAAGGTGTAAGGTGGTCCCTGGGGACACCTGCAGGCACCCGAGAAGGTCTCCAGGTAGCACCAGGTGCTCTGGATGTCCCAGGTCTCCAGGTGGATCTTGAGGAGCACCTGGAGTTCTCAGTGGAGGCTTCTAGGAGGTTCCAAGAGACCTTTAGAAGGTTTGGGACACTCATGGTGACCCCTGTGTGCACCCGAGAAGGTCTTTAGGTGCCACCAGGTGCTCTGAGGGTCCAAGATCTCCAGGTAGATCTTGAAGAGCATCAGGAGCTCTCCATGGAGACTTCTGGGAGGTTCCAGGAGACCTTTAGAAGATCTAGGACAGCTGTAGTGGCCCATGGTGACCCGTGGTGGCCCGCAGTGATCCATGGTGGCCCATGGTGACCCGTGGTGGCCCATGGTGACCCGTGATGACACCATGGTGGCCCGTGGTGACCTGTGGTGACCTGTGATGGCCCGTGGTGGCCCATGGTGATCCATGGTGACCTGTGATGACACCATGGTGGCCCATGGTGACCCGTGGTGGCCGATGGTGACACCATGGTGACCCGTGGTGACCAGTGGTGATCCATGGTGGCCCATGGTGACCCATGGTGGCCCGTGGTGACCCATGTTGACCCATGGTGGCCCGTGGTGGCCGATGGTGACACCATGGTGACTCGTGGTGACCAGTGGTGACCCATGCTGACCTGTGGTGGCCCATGCTGACCCGTGGTGACCCGTGGTAACCCATGGTGACCCGTGATGACACCATGGTGGCCCATGGTGACCTGTGGTGACCCATGGTGGCCTGTGGTGACCTGTGGTGGCCCATGGTGACCCATGGTGACCTGTGGTGACTCCATGCTGACCCGTGGTGGCCCGCAGTGATCCATGGTGGCCCGTGGTGACCCATGGTGGCCCGTGGTGAATCGTGGTGCTCCATGGTGACCCGTAGTGGCTCGTGGTGGCCCATGGTGATTTGTGGTGACCCATGGTGGCCCGTGGTGACACCATGGTGGCCCATGATGACCCACAGTGGCCCATGGTGACCTGTGGTGGCCCATGATGACCTGTGGTGACCCATGGTGGCCTGTGGTGGCCCATGGTGACCCGTGGTGACCTGTGGTGACCCATGGTGACCCATGTTGACCCGTGGTGATCCGCGGTGGCCCCTGGTGACCCGTGGTGATCCATGGTGACCCGTGGTGGCCCATGCTGACCCATGGTGATCCATGGTGGCCCGTGCTGACCCATGCTGACCTGTGGTGATCCGCGGTGGCCCCTGGTGACCTGTGGTGATCCATGGTGACCCGTGGTGACCTGTGGTGACCCGTGGTGATCCATGGTGGCCCGTGCTGACCCATGCTGACCTGTGGTGATCCGTGGTGGCCCGTGGTGACCCCTGTCCCCACCTGGCCAGGTGTACATGCACCTGCCGCAGACGGACAACAAGAAGAAGATCATCATCACCGAGGACGGGGAGTTCAAGGCGCTCCAGGAGTGGATCCTGGAGACCGACGGCGTCAGCCTCATGCGGGTGCTGAGCGAGAAGGACGTGGACCCCGTGAGGACAACCTCCAACGACATCGTGGAGATCTTCACCGTGAGTCACCTGGGCTGGGGACACCTGGGGACACACCTGGGCTGGGGACACACCTGGGGACACACCTGGGCTGGGGACACACCTGGGGACACACCTGGGGTGGGGTTTGAGGAACATCTGGGGGTGACAGGGACATCTGGGTCCTGATGGACCCCGTGAGGACAACCTCCAACGACATCGTGGAGATCTTCACCGTGAGTCACCTGGGCCTGGGGACACCTGGGGACATCTGGGGACACACCTGGGGTGGGGTTTGAGGGACATCTGG